GGATGCGCTTCTAAAGGATGCGCTTCTTGTTTCTGCACACAGTTAATTACTGTTTAAATTAATTGGAGTGGGAACCGAAAGTTACTGGACAGGCAATAAAACATCCCCTGTTGGATTTCCTATCTCATTAAACCACTGTTAGATCTGGTTAAACTAGAGGCAGGGTGGGAAAAGTGCTGCTTCAGGTTGGTTTTATGCAGAGGAAGGGGGAGTAGAGAGCCTAGCTATTTGGTAATAGCTACAGTACGTTGTGGTACCCTTTTTGTTCGCATTAGCGTTTGATTTGTGATGCAGTTTGATATTTGCACTTACGTCATTTAGCAGACGCTCTTATCCAGAGCAACTTACAGTAGTGAGTGCATACATGTTCATACTTTTTCAAACTGGTCCCCCGTGGGAATCGAACCTACAACCCTGGCATTGCAAGCCCCATACTCTACCAACTGAGCTATACGGGACCATATGTCACCAACACTGCTCTTGACCTTTTTCTTCACTAACTTGGGGATTGGAGGTGGTTGAGTGATGTTGGTCTGATCTTGGACACTGGTTCATTTAGGGGTAATGTACAGTGGGGAAAAAAAGTATTTAGTCAGCCACCAATTGTGCAAGTTCTCCCACTTAAAAAGATGAGAGAGGCCTGTAATTTTCATCATAGGTACACGTCAACTATGACAGACAAAATGAGAAGAAAAAAAATCCAGAAAATCACATTGTAGGATTTTTTATGAATTTATTTGCAAATTATGGTGGAAAATAAGTATTTGGTCAATAACAAAAGTTTCTCAATACTTTGTTATATACCCTTTGTTGGCAATGACACAGGTCAAACGTTTTCTGTAAGTCTTCACAAGGTTTTCACACACTGTTGCTGGTATTTTGGCCCATTCCTCCATGCAGATCTCCTCTAGAGCATTGATGTTTTGGGGCTGTTGCTGGGCAACACGGACTTTCAACTCCCTCCAAAGATTTTCTATGGGGTTGAGATCTGGAGACTGGCTAGGCCACTCCAGGACCTTGAAATGCTTCTTACGAAGCCACTCCTTCGTTGCTCGGGCGGTGTGTTTGGGATCATTGTCATGCTGAAAGACCCAGCCATGTTTCATCTTCAATGCCCTTGCTGATGGAAGGAGGTTTTCACTCACGATACATGGCCCCATTCATTCTTTCCTTTACACGGATCAGTCGTCCTGGTCCCTTTGCAGAAAAACAGCCCCAAAGCATGATGTTTCCACCCCCATGCTTCACAAGTAGGTATGGTGTTCTTTGGATGCAACTCAGCATTCTTTGTCCTCCAAACACGACGAGTTGAATTTTTCCCAAAAAGTTATATTTTGGTTTCATCTGACCATATGACATTCTCCCAATCCTCTTCTGGATCATCCAAATGCACTCTAGCAAACTTCAGACGGGCCTGGACATGTACTGGCTTAAGTAGGGGGACACGTCTGGCACTGCAGGATTTGAGTCCCTGGCGGCGTAGTGTGTTACTGATGGTAGGCTTTGTTACTTTGGTCCCAGCTCTCTGCAGGTCATTCACTAGGTCCCCCCGTGTGGTTCTGGGATTTTTGCTCACCGTTCTTGTGATCATTTTGACCCCACGGGGTGAGATCTTGCGTGGAGCCCCAGATCGAGGGAGATTATCAGTGGTCTTGTATGTCTTCCATTTCCTAATAATTGCTCCCACAGTTGATTTCTTCAAACCAAGCTGCTTACCTATTGCAGATTCAGTCTTCCCAGCCTGGTGCAGGTCTACAATTTTGTTTCTGGTGTCCTTTGACAGCTCTTTGGTCTTGGCCATAGTGGAGTTTGGAGTGTGACTGTTTGAGGTTGTGGACAGGTGTCTTTTATACTGATAACAAGTTCAAACAGGTGCCATTAATACAGGTAACGAGTGGAGGACAGAGGAGCCTCTTAAAGAAGTTGTTACTGGTCTGTGAGAGCCAGAAATATTGCTTGTTTGTAGGTGACCAAATACTTATTTTCCACCATAATTTGCAAATAAATTCATTAAAAATCCTACAATGTGATTTTCTGGAATTTTTTTTCTCAATTTGTCTGTCATAGTTGACGTGTACCTGTGATGAAAATTACAGGCCTCTCTCATCTTTTTAAGTGGGAGAACTTGCACAATTGGTGGCTGACTAAATACTTTTTTCCCCCACTGTAACTCCTCACGTGTTGTGTGCCAGTGGGGAGGCCTGTGCATTGGTGTGACTGCTGTGATCAGTGAGGAAGCACAAGTGTTTGAGTGCTTGCGTGCGTGCATAGATTTGCACACATTTGCACAAGTTTGCATTGTGTTCCCCTTTCCATTTAATGTTATCTAGCCAAATGAAACCTCCACGGAAAATGTTCATTCTGTAAAGTGAACCAGGACATTTAATTCAGCACTGACTAAAAGATGTTAAACCTGCTTGATTTTCATGTTGAATCATTATTCTATTCACTGAGACATGATATTCCCCAACCGGAAGTTATATGCAGGAGGCTGTTGAAATAATGTATTCAGCAGAAAAAATGTGGAACCAAAGTTGGGTTGAAGTTGATATGTAGTTTCATGTGCCTGAGAAGCAGAAGGAAGTTAGTAGCTCCGTCACATGATGCACTTTCAGTCTGAGAAGTAAAACCACTGCAATCAGGACACTTCATACTTGACTGCTGAAGGTAAGCGGCTGTTATTTAGTTACAATAGGTTAACCCTGCTTATCATTTGGCTGTGAATTGTGAAATCACTGAAACACTTTGGGATTTGAGTTTATACTTCTGGTTTTGGTGTCAGGTCATCAGCAGAGATGTCTGTGTGAGACTAAGTAAGTAGCCTAGTCCGAACCAGAACAGCCTGTAAGGCAGGAGACCTACAGTTGAAGTTGGACGTTTACATACACTTAGGTTGGAGTCATTAAAACTCGTTTTTCAACCCCTCCACAAATTTCTTGTTAACAAACTATAGTTTTGGCAAGTCGGTTAGGACATCTACTTTGTGCATGACACAAGTAATTTTTCCAACAATTCTTTACAGACAGATTATTTCACTTATAATTCACTGTATCACAATTCCAGTGAGTCAGAAGTTTACATACACTAAGTTGACTGTGCCTTTAAACAGCTTGGAAAATTCCAGGAAATGATGTCATGGCTTTAGAAGCTTCGGATAGGCTAATTGACTTCATTTGAGTCAATTGGAGGTGTACCTGTGGATGTATTTCAAGGCCTACCTTCAAACTCAGTGCCTCATTGCTTGACATCATGGGAAAATCTAAAGAAATCAGCCAAGACCTCAGAAAAACATTTGTAGATCTCCACAAGTCTGGTTCATCCTTGGGAACAATTTCCAAACGCCTGAAGGTACCATGTTCATCTGTACAAACAATAGTACGCAACTATAAACACCATGGGACCACGCAGCCATCATACCGCTCAGGAAGGAGACGCATTCTGTCTCCTAGAGGTGAACGTACATTGGTGCGAAAAGTGCAAATCAATCCCAGAACAACAGCAAAGGACCTTGTGAAGATGCTGGAGGAAACGGGTACAAAAGTATCTATATCCACAGTAAAACGAGTCCTATATCGACATAACCTGAAAGACCGCTCAGCAAGGAAGAAGCCACTGCTCCAAAACTGCCATAAAAAAGCCAGACCTACGGTTTGCAGCTGCACATGGGGACAAAGATTGTACTTTTTGGAGAAATGTCCTCTGGTCTGATGAAACAAAAATAGAACTGTTTGGCCATAATGACCATCGTTATGTTTGGAGGAAAAAGGGGGTTGCTTGCAAGCCGAAGAACACCATCCCAACCGTGAAGCACAGGGGTGGCAGCATCATGCTGTGGGGGTGCTTTGCTGCAGGAGGGACTGGTGCACTTCACAAAATAGATGGCATCATGAGGAAGGAAAAGTATGTGGATATATTGAAGCAACATCTCAAGACATCAGTCAGGAAGTTAAAGCTTGGTCGCAAATGGGTCTTCCAAATGGACAATGACCCCAAGCATACTTCCAAAATGGCTTAAGGACAACAAAGTCAAGGTATTGGAGTGGCCATCACAAACCCCTGACCTCAATCCTATAGAAAATATGGGGGCAGAACTGAAAAAGCGTGTGCGAACAAGGAGGCCTACAAACCTGACTCAGTTACACCAGCTCTGTCAGGAGGAATGGGCCAAAATTCACCCAACTTATTGTGGGAAGCTTGAAACCTGAAACGTTTGACCCAAGTTAAACAATTTTTAAAGGCAATGCTACCAAATACTAATTGAGTGTATGTAAACTTGTAAACTTAAACTGGGAATGTGATGAAATAAATAAAAGCTGAAATAAATCATTCTCTCTACTATTATTCTGACATTTCACATTCTTAAAATAAAGTGGTGATCCTAACTGACCTAAGACAGGGAATTTTTACTAGGATTAAATGTCAGGAATTGTGAAAAACTGAGTTGAAATGTATTTGGCTAAAGTGCATGTAAACTTCCGACTTCAACTGTATTTCTGTAGCATGAGGCAGCTTGATGTACAAGTACACCCTGTGGACAGGGCGTGGGACTATGGCTCGTTGCTTGTCAGTTAGGCTAGCTTGCAGCTCTGATTTATTCATGTGATAGGCTAGGCTATACTGTTAGAACTAAACTCGTAACATGTCGATTGGTTGGATGTACAATGCAGCACTTCAAAATAAACACCCTGTTATATTCAGATGTATACTGTGTACCTCCATCTCATAGTGTTCAATGCTTTACCAAAGCACCATTAGGGCTATGTAGGTTAATGCTCTCATAGTTCTGCATGTCTATTCTGAATGGCAGTGGGTTGGTGTGAAATATTCTATTATTTTGAGCTACAGGCTCAGTGGGGGGATATATAGGACCCTGTCATCTCCCTGTTCCCTCTGTCTGAGGCCAATATGTCCTATCTGTGCACCCCACTGATCTGAGAGGACACAGATGATCTGTGCTCTGTGACACGCATGGCCCTCAGCTACACACCACAGCCAGAACGATGGCCAAGTGGTTTCAGCTATCCAATGGCCTGTGGCACCGGGACCAAAGAGGTTTTTAATGGCTGAATGCTGAACAGGATGCTGCAATGACTGCATAATGATGTGCTCATAGGATCAGAGCACTCAGTGGTTGTGTGGATTTGAGGACTAGGAAGTCCATGGATGGATTTACATTATAGACAGGTTTGTCAGGGTATACTGTTTAAGCTGGTTGTTTGACCATTCACCCTGATACTTACTTGGGGAAAGAGTGGTAGCCTGCAGGACTGATGTGTTTCTGCTTTCTCCACGGATTTCTTATCACAGTGTGTGTCCCATTGACCTCCCAACACACTCCATGGTCAGACATGATGTAGTTGGGGAAAATGCTGACACATTCTACTTCTATGTTTTGGTCTAGAGTAAGATCCCTGTTTCACCAATAATGCCAAGACCACAGTCGTAACTCAGAAGACCTTTTATGACTTGCCCTGAGTTCACTTTTTTGTTAGAGGGTTTTGCATGTGGATAAACATTCCCTCTCTGATGCTATAGTGTGGAAACTCAGAGCCTGCCCCTAAGACATGATTTAATATGCACACAGCAGCTGACACTCATGAGAGCGGCAACGAGATATAAGTAATTGTGAAGATGTTGATGATTGTGCTAACAGTGGTCTAAATACTGATAGTAGTCATGATTACAATGATTTTTATGATAAACCAAATATTAGCTTAATTGGATAACTGATTTCCTTCAACCAGTCAAGAAAGGGCATGGTAGCCCTAAACATCTACAAATCCACAAGAACTAGAGAAATATCCTTGTGCATATTTGACTCTTTCATGATTACATGCCTCTACTCCTTCTTATCTTCTGTCTGACATCAGTGTTTGATGTGTGTTATGTTGTGATGATTAGGCGTGTCGGGACTTCCTGGACCTAGCGGAGACCCACAGCAGGAGATGGCAGCGGGCGCTGCAGTATGAGAGAGAGCAGCGTATCCACCTGGAGGAGACCATAGAGCAGCTAGCCAAGCAGCACAACAGTCTGGAGAGAGCCTGGAGAGAGGCCCCCACACTGTCCACCAACACGCCCAGCGCCCCCACCACCGAGAAGGGTAAGGCACACTGTCTGGCCTCTTAGCATGGCCCCTTAGTCCTTAGACTAACAGGACTCTGTTCATTTGGAGAAATAGTACATCTTGGCGAAATATGAAAATGAAAGCCATTTCAGATGGTTTTAAATTAGATTGTCTCTGTAATTAAGGGTTAGACTGAAATAGACTGGAAGATACATTTCTTATGAGAGTAGTATTCAAATGGACACAATCACTCCTCACCTTTCCTTTGTGATAGCCATTCTAGCGTAAAAGAGTAAGCTGTGTATCACACAGGAATGGATATATTATAATTTGTCAGTCTGAGGTTGTATTGAAGTTGGACTTTTCCCTCCCTTCTCGCCTGGAATCAAGTTCAGTACTTAGTTAGCCTACAGGGACGTTACTTATTAAAGACAATTATTCCTTATTAATCTCCATAGGTATTTGATTAGCTACCCAACCCTCCTTTCCCCTCTACAAATCATGTGACTACTGCTGCACCAGTATAGAGCAGGGTGTGTGTTACATATTGCTTTAGTTTGCGCGTGCGTGTGTGTGTGTGTTCTCTCTCTCAGGAGGGAGTGAGAGGCAGCAGAAAGGGGAGGCGAGTGATGAAGATGAGGAGACAGAGTACTTTGACGCCATGGAGGACTCCCCTGCCTTTATCACAGTGACCGCCACTGAGAACACACAGCACAGGTCAGTCAGTCAGTCTCACCCTATGGCCTGTACAGTACACTCCATGGCTGGCTCTTCACATCCACCTCAATGGATCGTGGATGTTTAGTTTGGTATTAGTTTAGTATAAGACTGATTCGGTGTGAATAGACTGTGATAAATACAAAGACGTGATGTCTTGATTGTGCCTGTTGATGGATTCTGTAGTGTTTACACCAGAGCATCTGTCAAGCCCAGAGCCACACTGTACACCTCATATTGCCTGTGTATGACACATTCCTTCCATCAGCTACTCAATAACCACCAGCAGTAAAACTTCAGAACCTCTTTCCCTCTCTGTACTCATAATCTCTCTCTCACTCACACTCACACTCTCACACACACACACACACACAGACTCATACCTGCTGGCAGTGTTGTCTGTATGCGCGCATCCTTTCCTGTCTGTTTTTAATGAATGTCTGTCTGTCTTTACTGGACTGGCTCTGGCACTATTAACAGCTCAAGATGTTGTTGTCTCTATGATAAAAGATAGCTCATTCCCCTTACTGCTCCTCTACTAGGGAATAAACCACTGCTCAGCCACTTCTCTGTTTTGGACTTATTCTTTCATCTCCAAAATACTTGTGGCTTTTTATGTGGCTCAGTTTTAGAACTTTGTTGTTTTTTGCTGCCCTATTTTACCAGAACACCTGGTGAGACAGTATATACACCTGATAGGACTCCTTGCTTTCCCTTTGAGGATAATATAATGTTTATATTTCCCAGATACATATTCTGCTGCTCCTCTCCAACTCAGAGACACATCTATCCACCTCTAACACAACAGCTCAGAGACACATCTATCCACCTCTAACAGAACAGCTCAGAGACACATCTATCCACCTCTAACAGAACAGCTCAGAGACACATCTATCCACCTCTAACAGAACAGCTCAGAGACACATCTATCCACCTCTAAAAGAACAGCTGAGACACATCTATCCACCTCTAACACAACAGCTCAGAGACACATCTATCCACCTCTAACAGAACAGCTCAGAGACACATCTATCCACCTCTAAAAGAACAGCTGAGACACATCTATCCACCTCTAATAGAACAGCTCAGAGACACATCTATCCACCTCTAACAGAACAGCTCAGAGACACATCTATCCACCTCTAACAGAACAGCTCAGAGACACATCTATCCACCTCTAACAGAACAGCTCAGAGACACATCTATCCACCTCTAACAGAACAGCTCAGAGACACATCTATCCACCTCTAACAGAACAGCTGAGACACATCTATCCACCTCTAACAGAACAGCTGAGACACATCTATCCACCTCTAACAGAACAGCTGAGACACATCTATCCACCTCTAACAGAACAGCTCAGAGACACATCTATCCACCTCTAACAGAACAGCTCAGAGACACATCTATCCACCTCTAATAGAACAGCTCAGAGACACATCTATCCACCTCTAACAGAACAGCTCAGAGACACATCTATCCACCTCTAATAGAACAGCTGAGACACATCTATCCACCTCTAACAGAACAGCTGAGACACATCTATCCACCTCTAACAGAACAGCTGAGACACATCTATCCACCTCTAATAGAACAGCTGAGACACATCTATCCACCTCTAACAGAACAGCTGAGAGACACATCTATCCACCTCTAATAGAACAGCTGAGACACATCTATCCACCTCTAACAGAACAGCTCAGAGACACATCTATCCACCTCTAACAGAACAGCTCAGAGACACATCTATCCACCTCTAAAAGAACAGCTGAGACACATCTATCCACCTCTAATAGAACAGCTGAGACACATCTATCCACCTCTAATAGAACAGCTCAGAGACACATCTATCCACCTCTAACAGAACAGCTCAGAGACACATCTATCCACCTCTAATAGAACAGCTGAGACACATCTATCCACCTCTAATAGAACAGCTGAGACACATCTATCCACCTCTAATAGAACAGCTGAGACACATCTATCCACCTCTAACAGAACAGCTCAGAGACACATCTATCCACCTCTAACAGAACAGCTGAGACACATCTATCCACCTCTAATAGAACAGCTGAGACACATATATCCACCTCTAACAGAACAGCTGAGACACATCTATCCACCTCTAACAGAACAGCTGAGACACATCTATCCACCTCTAACAGAACAGCTCAGAGACACATCTATCCACCTCTAACAGAACAGCTCAGAGACCAATCCGATGTTACACCCAGTCATGTGCTGAATAGAGCCATCCATCTGTGTCTAGCTGCCTGCGCCTGTCTGTTTCGGTTATTTTGTGTGCGTTTCGGTGTGTGTGTCTGCGTGTGTGTGTGCGTGCATTAAGATTAAGTTTCTCCCTCTTCCAGGCATTCTCAGAGTAACCTGAGTGGAGCGAGTGGAGGCCAGACCAATGACTGGAACCAGGAAAATGTGAGTGTCTCTTTCCTCCAAACAGCTCTCAGTAATGATCCACATGCCTGTCGACACACTAGGCTTTATACTATTCACCTTTGTCACTGTGTGTGAAGCTCTTTTAGTTATTTTTAACCTGTCTCCAATTGCTGTTTTCTAGCATCCTGTTAAGGAAAATAGCATATCACATTACGAACTTGGGCATGTTTTTTTGCATTCTCAAACACAAAAACACACACACACACACACACACACACACACACACACACACACACACACACACACCCACACACTGGCATGCTTTGACCACACACATACCCTCACAGGCTCTCTTTCTCTCTCTGTCTCGTCATTTCTCTGGATCTTTAATTACCAGTCAGATATCTGTTTTCCCAATTCTATCTCTCTCATTCTCCTCTCTTATTCCCTCTCTTCCTCTACTTCCAGATGGTGATTCACTGAGTCCCTGACAAGCTAAGATATACAGTGGGGGAAAACATTTATTTAGTCAGCCACCAATTGTGCAAGTTCTCCCACTTAAAAAGATGAGAGAGGCCTGTAATTTTCATCATAGGTACACGTCAACTATGACAGACAAAATGAGAAGAAAAAAATCCAGAAAATCACATTGTAGGATTCTTTATGAATTTATTTGCGAATTATGGTGGAAAATAAGTATTTGGTCAATAACAAAAGTTTCTCAATACTTTGTTATATACCCTTTGTTGGCAATGACACAGGTCAAACGTTTTCTGTAAGTCTTCACAAGGTTTTCACACACTGTTGCTGGTATTTTGGCCCATTCCTCCATGCAGATCTCCTCTAGAGCAGTGATGTTTTGGGGCTGTCGCTGGGCAACACAGACTTTCAACTCCTTCCAAAGATTTTCTATGGGGTTGAGATCTGGAGACTTGCTAGGCCACTCCAGGACCTTGAAATGCTTCTTACGAAGCCACTCCTTCGTTGCCCAGGCGGTGTGTTTGGGATCATTGTCATGCTGAAAGACCCAGCCACGTTTCATCTTCAATGCCCTTGCTGATGGAAGGAGGTTTTCACTCAAAATCTCACGATACATGGCCCCATTCATTCTTTCCTTTACACGGATCAGTCGTCCTGGTCCCTTTGCAGAAAAACAGCCCCAAAGCATGATGTTTCCACCCACATGCTTCACAGTAGGTATGGTGTTCTTTGGATGCAACTCAGCATTCTTTGTCCTCCAAACACGACGAGTTGAGTTTTTACCAAAAAGTTCTATTTTGGTTTCATCTGACCATATGACATTCTCCCAATCCTCTTCTGGATCATCCAAATGCACTCTAGCAAACTTCAGACGGGCCTGGACATGTACTGGCTTAAGCAGGGGGACACGTCTGGCACTGCAGGATTTGAGTCCCTGGCGGCGTAGTGTGTTACTGATGGTAGGCTTTGTTACTTTGGTCCCAGCTCTCTGCAGGTCATTCACTAGGTCCCCCCGTGTGGTTCTGGGATTTTTGCGCACCGTTCTTGTGATCATTTTGACCCCACAGGGTGAGATCTTGCGTGGAGCCCCAGATCGAGGGAGATTATCAGTGGTCTTGTATGTCTTCCATTTCCTAATAATTGCTCCCACAGTTGATTTCTTCAAACCAAGCTGCTTACCTATTGCAGATTCAGTCTTCCCAGCCTGGTGCAGGTCTACAATTTTGTTTCTGGTGTCCTTTGACAGCTCTTTGGTCTTGGCCATAGTGGAGTTTGGAGTGTGACTGTTTGAGGTTGTGGACAGGTGTCTTTTATACTGATAACAAGTTCAAACAGGTGCCATTAATACAGGTAATGAGTGGAGGACAGAGGAGCCTCTTAAAGAAGAAGTTACAGGTCTGTGAGAGCCAGAAATCTTGCTTGTTTGTAGGTGACCAAATACTTATTTTCCACCATAATTAGCAAATAAATTCATTAAAAATCCTACAATGTGACTTTCTGGAAAAAATAATCTCAATTTGTCTGTCATAGTTGACGTGTACCTATGATGAAAATGACAGGCCTCTCTCATCTTTTTAAGTGGGAGAACTTGCACAATTGGTGGCTGACTAAATACTTTTTTTTCCCACTGTACAAAGTTAGAGATCTACACTGACAGTGACAGTTAGACGTTTCTCTCTCTCATATCTTCCCAATCTCTCTCTCCCTCCCCATCGGTCTCTCTGTCTCTCCCTATCTCTCTCCCTATCTCTTTCTCTTTCTCTCTCCCATCTCTCGCTCTATTTCTCTCTCGCTCTATTTCTCTCTCTCTCTCTCTCTCTCTCTCTCTCAGGTGTATCCTAGCTGTAATGATACAGGGAAGGAGCTGCAGCCCCTCAGAAGGAGGCGGAGCCACATCCCAGACAAGCCCAATTACTCCCTTAACCTGTGGAGCATCATGAAGAACTGCATTGGCAAGGAGCTCTCCAAGATCCCCATGCCTGTGAGTGCCTGTCATGCTTGTGTCCATGTAGTAGAATGAGCCTGGGTGTGAGTGTATGAGAGGTGGAGAGAGCGGCATCATATTGGAACTCATCCGAAATGTGCAAGTCAATGACAAAACTCTAACCATTGCAAACTGTTTGTCTGCAGGTAAACTTCAACGAGCCTCTGTCCATGCTGCAGCGGCTGACAGAGGACCTGGAGTACCATGAGCTGCTGGACAAGGCGGCGCGCTGTGAGAGCTCCCTGGAGCAGCTGTGTCTGGTGGCAGCCTTCTCTGTGTCCTCCTACTCCACTACCGTCCACCGCACAGCCAAACCCTTCAACCCCCTGCTGGGGGAGACCTATGAGCTGGACCGCCTGGACGACTTCGGCTACCGCTCACTGTGTGAGCAGGTACACACAGAGACAGATAAATTACAATATTACACTGAGACAAACACACTCGCACACACAGGAAAATACTTCAATTTAGTGCCTCTACAATACATACAAGCCATGATACACAAAAAGTACCCATCATTGACATACTATAAGCTAGAGCAGTGATTTTCCTTTGAGCGTGTAAATAACCTCTTCCCCCCCTCCCCCCTCACCCCCCGTCCGTAGGTGAGCCATCACCCCCCAGCAGCATCTCACCATGTGATTTCTCAGCGAGGCTGGACCCTCTGGCAGGAAATCACCATAGCCAGCAAGTTCCGTGGCAAATACCTCTCCATAATGCCTTTGGGTGAGTTGCTGAATATTCACCATGTACTGACCACTGTTAACACACTCTCTATGCAAATAAAGGTCTCATGACTGTGTACAGTGCCCTTTATAATAATTATTCTTTTGGCTCTATACTTCAAAAGTTTGGATTTGAAATCAAACAATTACTGTGAGGTTAAAGTGCAGACTCTCAGCTTTAATTTGAGCGTATTTTCATTCATGTCGTTTAGAAATCACAGCACTTTTTGTACATAGTCCCCCCATTTTAGGGGAGCAAAAGTATTGGGACAAATTCACTTATGTGTATTAAAGTAGTAAACAGTTAAGTATTTGGTCCCATATTCCTAGCATGCAATGACTACATCAAGCTTGTGATTCTACACATTTGTTGGATGCATTTGCTGTTTGTTTTGGTTGTGTTTCAGATTATTTTGTGCCCAATAGAAATGAATGGTAAATAATGTAGTGTGTCATTTAGGAGTCACTTTTATTGTAAATAATAATAGAATGTTTCTAAACACTTCTACATGAATGAGGATGCTACCATGATTACAGATAATCCTGAATGAATCGTGAATAATGATGAGTGAACAATGTACAGACGCACAAATATCATACCCCCCCCCAAAAAAAAAACGCTAACCTCCCCTGTTAATGTAATGGTGAGAGGTATGATATTTGTGCGTCTGTAACTTTCTCACTCATCATTATTCACCCGATATGGATGGAAATACCCTAAAATTAAAGCTGCCAGTCTGCACTAACCTCATAGTCATTATATGATTTCAAATCCAAACTTTTGGAGTATAGAGCCAAAAGAAGAAAAAATGCTACAGAGGACACTGTATGCATGTTTATAGGTGGGAACACCAGGATCTCTCTGTAGGTCAGGTCTCTGAAATCCAGGCAACCTCAACATCACCTCTGTCCTCCCAGTCCCTCCTACTCACTCACTAAGCCATAGATGGAGACCAGTGTGAAAATGAATCTAACGACCCCTGTGACAGATACATAAACTCTGGGTGTATAGGGAAGGCTGTACCCAGGGGTCTCTAAGGCCCTGATAAATTAGAGATTAATAGATCCCATAGATTTGATTGATACATATCCCATAACATGAAGCCGTGCTATCCATTTGAACTATAAAGAATAACCTCTTGTATGTTTATTGTAATCCTAGTGAGATTTAAGTAAGTAAAGTAAGTAATATGTGACAACAGACTTTGAGTCCCTGCCTCGCTCTCTCAGCCCCTGTGTTATCAGGCCAAGTCTCTGCAGGTAGGACTAACCTTGTTTATAAATGACTCAAAATAAGAACCAGAATATCAACCACAATACATGTTGCCTTGTTACATTGTAATGCCATGGTACTAACACTAAGAGTGTTGTCACTCTTTCTCTGACTGCATTTCATCCCCACCACTCCATCTCTCCATTTATATCTCAATGTTCTCTCCTTTTTTGGCCTTTACCCTCTCTCCCCAGGTGCCATTCACCTGCAGTTCCACTCCAGTGGGAACCATTATGTTTGGAGGAAGGTAACCTCTACCGTGCACAACATCATCGTGGGCAAGCTGTGGATTGACCAGGTCTGTCTACTAACTACATCATGGCTCTACTCCCTCCTCCTCCCATGTTCTTACCTGTCCATGTCTCTCTCCTACTCTCCTCCTGTCTCCTCTTGTGTCCTCATTGTCTGATCCTGTGTGTCTGTCTGATTCAGTCAATATCCATGTGTCCTGTATGTCAGCCCTCCATGTGTAAGAGGTATCTATCGTCTAATGTTTCCTATTTTCATCCTGTAGCTGTTTGTAATGTAATCCAGGCTGGTGGAGTGAGTGTTGGGTAGAGGCAGAGCTCAATCGCAACAGAACAGAACAGCACATGAATAAGCCTGTGGTCTCTGATGGTTTCTCTCCCTTTCATTAATAACACCCTCCCCTCTCTCTACGATGACCCAATTGCCGTCTGTAACTGTCTGTTGGTCTGTCACATCATCTGTCTGTAGTACTACTCTGTGCTCTGTACCAGCCCCTCACTGGAATAGGAGGAGGAGGAAGACAGGGGCCAGGGAATCAACTCTAGCTAGCATATGGTAGAATATGGCACACTCACAAACACCCTCTCAGTAGCAGTCCCTAAAGCACACCTTAGTGTCAATTATATAGAGCTTCCTAGTAGAATCTCAATACATCCCTGAGAGGGGATGAATGTAAAGACACTGTTCTGATACAGCTGTGGAATGTTGAGATGTTATTTGTTCTATCTCTCCTTCTGAACTCCTTCTGATGATGACTCATCGGTTGTTTTCTGATTGCTATTGATGCTAACTAGAAAGTCTCTCTCCTATCCCATCCTCCTCTTTCCTTTTCTCTTCCATCCCATTCTATCCTCCCTTCTCTCTCTCTCTCTCTCTCTCTCTCTCGCGCACTCTCTCTCTCTCTCTCTCGCGCGCTCTCTCTCCTCTCGCGCGCGCTCTCTCTCGGGGCAGTCAGGGGACATTGAGATAGTCAACCACAGGACCAAGGAGACATGCCAGCTCAAGTTCTCCCCCTACAGCTATTTCTCCAGGGAAGTCCCACGCAAGGTACATGTCACCACCATCACAAACCTCTAATCAGCCCTGGCTGAAACCTGACCGTGGCATGATGAGCTCATAGGCTCGGCTGTCACATTGTTGCGTGCTGCCCCCTGCTGGATAATAAAAGCAAATATATCATTTTTGAATGGACTCTTCTTTCAAATTGTTGTTAATAATTAACTATAGTGAGGGATATTGTATTAATTTCTACAAATGGAATGATACATTTCCTCTCTGTGTGTCTGTGTTGTCCAGGTAACGGGGGTGGTGTCAGACAGTGGAGGGCAGGCCCACTACATCCTGTCTGGCACGTGGGACGATAAGATCGAGAGCTCCAAGATCGTCCAGAGCAGCAAAGGGGGCAGCGGCTCCGAGGGCAAGCAGAAGACTGTCTACCAGACCCTGTCCCCCAAACTACTGTGGAAGAAATACCCTCTCCCGTAAGCACTGCCCAGCCTACCCAGCCTCACACAGTAAAACACTACAGCACATAACACAGATCACACACTAATCCTACGATGCACCATACACAACAACACAACAAAGATTACTACATTATAGAGCAACCTAACTGCTCTCCTCTATCTCCCACCCACCTCCTCTCTCCCTCTCTCTCCCTGTCAGGGATAACGCTGAGAACATGTACTTCTTCTCGTCGCTGGCGCTGACGTTGAATGAGCCGGAGGATGGGGTGGGGCTGACGGACAGCCGGCAGAGACCGGACCAGAGGCTGATGGAGGCGGGGAGATGGGACGAGGCCAACTCTGAGAAACAGAGACTAGAAGAGAAACAGAGAGCTGTGAGGAGGAGGAGAGAGGCAGAGGCCACCGATGCACTTGATGACGGTAAGAGAGTGGGCAGGGTGGAGAGGCAATGGAGAGTTGACAGAGAGAACAACTGATAGAGAGAAAGGAGCAGGGTGGAGTGATTTGTAGAAAGGCCTTTATTAAGTCCCATAACTCTGAATCATTCCTCCCGTCCCCTGACCTTTATGTAAATGCTATGACAAGAACAGTATTACCTGGAGTGAGCCAGATGAGAACAGATGAGGATTGAAAGTGAAGAGCTAATGGAGGCTACTAGGGGGAGAGTGTAGAGAGAGGACACAGCAGAGCAGACACTTCTCATCCTGGTTACATTGTTAATGTCCAGTGCTCTGTATTTTGATGTACCCATGACGCGGCTCTCTTTTCCTCCCTCTGTTGGTGGTCAGAGTGTGATTATGATGACTCTGGTGAGTGGGGGTTGCCTTGTGTCCCCCTGTTGTGCATCACCCTCACCCACATCCCCATCTTTTTTGTGTTGACCCTCCCCTTTGTGGCCTGCTTATGGCAGCGTTCCAGGTTGTCTTTTTTGCAATCACAATGCACATCTCAGGAGATTACTATATCATATTCATGTGGCACAGAGACGTTAAACACTTCTCCAGATGTTTAACGTGTCTGGATCATCCAGGTCTGTCTCTGTGCAGCATGACTGCAATAAAGACAACCTGGAACTGGAAGGGATCCTTTATATGGGGTCTGCATGCTGACTGACTCCCTAGTACCCACTCTTCCAGACTATGACCCAGGAAAAAGCCACTCAGTCTTTTTTCTGCTACCATGTGCCTCTTTCATTCAGCCTTGACTTGGCCCTCCTATGGCTGTACTGTTTCAGAGCCAGAGAAACAGACATAGAGGTGTCTGTAATGTGTGGGAGTGACCTGACAGTAGGCCATACAGAATAACTCCCTGAGCCCACTGTATGAGTGACGCTTGTGTCTCTTCCCCCAGGTCGGGAGTACGAGGGCTTCCAGCCACAGTGGTTCCACAAGAGGACGAACGCCATCACTGGAGAGACAAACTTTGTGTACAAGGGTGGATACTGGGAGGCTAAGGACAGTCAGGACTGGAGTATGTGCACTGAAATCTTCTAAGCCTCGACCACACCCATCCTACCCCCTCACTGGACTCACCCAGGCCCATGAGACTGCTCTACCGCTGGCCCTGGAGGAAGAGGGGTATGGGTCTGGGTGTGGACCTCTGTGTGCGAATGTGTACGTGTCACACACTCACAATACAGTGTACCTCCCCACGTACACACACACTTCATCTTTTTTACAGAGTCAAAGGAGAGAAGGGGCCTTCTCTAGATCCTCTCTGACAACATAGCACTGAGCTGTATGGGGTGTGAGCGAGAGGAGAGATTGAATACCATAGAAAAAGGACCCAATAGAGATGTCCAAAATAATCAGGTGCTCCACACACGCTACCCACAATGCACTATTCCTCTGTTCAGCACATCATTTTTTTAGGGGTATTAATGATTGAACAGCAACCCATCTAAATCAGTTCTCCTCTCCTCCACTGTATACTGGGATGAGATTAAGTCCATCCTCTGTGACACACACACAGAGACACACACACAGAGACACAGAGACACAGACACAGAGACACAGACACAGAGACACAGACACAGAGACACAGACACACACACAGACAGACAAAGACAGTATACTTTAAAAGGATGGACATTTATTTTGACCCCTATTTTATTAACTGGTATAGAGAATGTGCAGGTAGGCAGTAGGCACATACTCCAACGCTTGAATTAGTTCTTCATCTATGTCTGCCTGGTAAAGAACTTAAGTTCCCTCTGTACTTTTCTCCATTGCAGGAAGAACCAGGTTTAGACTTACATACTGTATAACCAGGTTTAGACCTGCATATAACCATACTGAGCTCAGACCGTAACCAACATGGTATTACAACCAGAGTGCTTTTCCAAACACAAACTGTGTATATTGTGAAACCTTCCAAACACTGTCCCACTTCCACACTGTTAATTGAAGCTGTATCTATTGAGGTAAATAAGCACTTTTCTTTGTGGGTTTCCACAGCTTAATGCGCATCTGTGGTGATGTTGAGGAGACTCCAGCCTGTGCACTGCACTCTCACCCAGTCCTTTGGTGCTTAACCATAGAAACACATACACTTCTATAGTGCATTGAGTCATTTAAAGGATATAAATTGCATTGTAGCTAGAACCTGCACACCAATGACTTATCCCTAAAACAGATCCATCATCCCACACATTAATATCTAGGCAGAGAATGAATTCTACACCACAGTGTATAGTTCTACAGTCTACATGACAGATCAGAGTCTGTCTGGACCTGTAGTTATATTCATACAGAACGGTGTGATGTTGCTATAGTGCTGAAGGAGGCCCATGATGGCTACTGACAGTATATTGGCATCTTACCACAGAAAGACAGCATGCTCCTCAGGCCTCCCATAGCACACCACAGTTCAGTGAGCTCCAGCCAGGGAGGGCTGCTAGTGGGGACAGTGACTCCCAGGCACTGACCCAGGTTCACCTGGGCATAAACCTAGTCCTAACTCCCAGTGGATTCTTGACAAAGTGTTAGTATATTTTGTAATTACTGTTAGGAATGTAGAATTTGGGCTGGAAGTATTGTACCCACTGTCTGGCCTTTTATGTGAATATTTTGTGATAATAAGACAATAATATGATTATAAAACAAAGAGTTCTAATAATAATCAGAACAATAAGTTATGTTTATAGTTTAAATCTGACGTTTTAATGAATATGTACTGTTACTGTACCTTTTAATTCAAATTGATCCAGCCAGTTAGAAGTTGATTCTAACTACCGCCCACGGTTTGGTTGCAGATTTTATGTTTTATATTAATAGAGACTTACTCTCACACTGAAAAGTATTTTTATACAAAGTTCTTGATATTGGCATATTGTTTACTTGGTTTAGATTTGCAGTTCACAAACAAGCAACCACATCTGGCAGTGCACCTGATGTGGCCCATAAGGTTTCTGAGGTCAGTTGTTACAGAGCTCTGGCATGTGCTCTGGAGGGCAGTGGAAGACACACAGAATACCATCCTCATCCCAACATATCTGTCTGGAGGGCTAAAGGGGTTGCTGGGGGTGCATACAAACTAGAAACTACTCATCAAGCAACTGCTGAATGTAATGTGAACCAGGAAAATTTGAAAGTTTCAACTGTGAGATAATAATTATCCCCCAATCACTTTCATGCTCCCAACTATTTTTCATTTTAACTCAGAGTAACCCTCCTCCACCTGAAGCCTATAATATAAAGCCTCAAAGGGGCAGAGAATTAGTGGTTGTTACAAGCACATTCTGGTCAGGCACTTACTCTCATTAACCCCCTGAACAACAGCCTCCATTTTCTGCACTATATATGTTTGGTTCCAGTCTATCCACTTTGTACCCATTATCTTTCAGCAGACACACAGGCACTCATACATTAGTCACATAACCATAACACACACACATGCAGACAAGCACATGTAGAAGTACTGACCACATTGGTGAGAACAGTACATTATTAGTGGAAGAAATCAAGGTGTAATGAACTCTCACTATTCTGGACACAATCACAGTAAGAGGTTTTATATATTGTAAATGTGTCATTGTATAGATAATACTACAATGGCATGTACAGTATTACTGGGTGAGAAACACAGCATTGAAATGTGGGGAAGAAAGAGTATGATGTGCAGGGCAAGTATTACTTATTTCTCAATGATCAACTCCTTATAGATTGAGTTTAATATACTGGGTTTGGAATAGAATGAGTTTTATATATGAATATACATATATTATATTTTGAATAATAATAAATACATCATACGTTTTAATCCTTTATTTTGAATATCCAAATGACTTGACCTCAAAGATGTGTGGGTTGATAGGCTCCCCAGCCAGGGCCTGTGTAAGTAGCAATAACGGTGACGTTTAGATTACTTGTTGGGGTAAAGAAGAGGTTCATCTCTGCTCTGTGCAGTGTACTGTAGCCTAAAATACTCTTTACCTGCCTTCCTAATGAGACACTTCATATTTTTCATCTTACCCAACAACACTTAATCCAGTATGGTTTGATAACAACACTTACATTTATGTCATTTAGCAGACACTCTTATCCAGAGCAACTAGGGTTAAGTGCCTTGCTCAAGGGCACATCGACAGATTTTTCACCTGGTCGGCTCGGGGATTAGAACCAGCGACCTTTCGGTTACTGGCACAACGCTCTTAACCACTAAGCTACCTGCCACCCCAGTATGGTTTGATTTACCCAACAACACTTAATCCAGTATGGTTTGATTTACCCAACAACACTTAATACAGTATGGTTTGATTTAGCTTTAATAGCTATGCTTTGTTATTATTTTTTATTACTTTTTATCATGGGTGCCATTGTCTTTCATTTACACACTGTATTTGTATGTATGCACAACAAGAAATGTGTGTATCTAAGATATACATGTGTCTTTTGTTGTGTGCTGCTCTGAGGCAGGTGTATAGTAATGAAGACTGGGAAATACCTCATCATACCTGGTCTGAATTAAACGCTGCTGCTCTGTGGACTCCTTCTAATAGCCTGTGTGACCCATATCACTACTAAGGCCCTGGTACTGAAGGATGGAGGTGAGCGGGGGTCCTGTCTTACCATACTTACTTCAACCTCACTCACACAAGCTCATATTCCACACACACTATCTCACACATATGCACCTTTGTTCAGGTGTAACTGCAACCAGGGTTGGTCTTCTTTTAGAATTGTGTTTTTTCTCCATTCATTTATACACATGTAACATTGTCTTCAAAAGAAAGACACAATGACAAAACTGAGATAATAAAGGTGTTTCTGTTGAAACTGGATGTGTGTCTGTTCAATTTTAGCTTTGTGTAGTTTAGCATTACAGAGTGATTGAAATTGAAAGTTGATGTTGATGTTAACGCTTTAGCGGAGACCGCATTCACGGTTAACGCTGCACATTTCGGCTCAATCGGAAATCACTTTTACATTTCAATGGCGGGAATCTGTAAACTTCAGCTTTACAGATTGAATTGAGCCCGTAGGTTACTTAAACATGCAGCTAGCTGTACAAAATAAAGTTCTGATAGCCGAGGAATGAAAGAATGTAGCATAAAACACTCAAATGAAGCCTGTTGCAGAACAGTGGCGCTCCAACTCCCGCTGTTATCACTAGTGGGGGAAGCGTGCTGTGATAAGCGCCTCGTCTGGTCGCTCAGTTTGAACGGTTCTTATTATACAGTTTGAACGGCTTGGCTTGGACCCGGGTGGGGGAGCACTGTTTGAAGGTTGCTTGGAAACCCAAGCAATGCTTCTGTCAATCAAGTCTGCAACTGCAGCAGCTGAAAAGGAGTCTACCAACTTAGTTTTATACCATTCAGAAAGTAAGTCTTGAATTTATGGTTAAATTACAATGAGAAGAAACAATTTATGCTGCTTATTTTTTCACAAAATGGCTTACCCGGCTGGTGTAGTGTAAATGTGAAATGTAAAGCTATCGAGAAATGTTGTATAAGTCACATTATAGTCTTATTTGCGCATTATGCACTGTTCAATCAAATGCAACTATGCATTGACTTTTCATTAGAGTGTCTGAATTCTAATGGAACCACCATCAAATTTACTCAGAGCTGGATGGTTAATCAGATATGTTGTTTTTAACATTCTTCTGAAAACATTGGAATTTGCAGTGCTGCTTCCAAATTGTAAGCCTACTCCACAGCTTTCCTACTCAGTCAGTGGAAGGAATTCCACAATCACTGTAAAGTGTAGGTTTGCATGTGAGCTGGCCATAGTGCCACCAGAATGTATTGGGTTCTTTGTGAAAGGAAGCTCAGCAGCCTTAAGGCTCCCAGGCAAAGGGTCTGGGTTTCCAGGGCAACCACCAACATCACTTTGCTGTTAGGTATTCGAGAATGTTGTCTGTATTTCTGAGTGTGTTTTACAGGAAATGGCCGATGGCAGTTATGAAGGGGCAGAAAGAGATGCTGCAGAAGACACAGATGAGCTTCTTTACACTGGTCAGATAATGTCCTATCTAGGACTATAGATACTTCAGACTGAATTCCTCTACCTGTCGTTCTTCCTACTCATTCTCATTCCTTCTCTTCTCTCTGGATTAAACAATTTATTCTCCTGTTCCCTATATACCCTTTGCTCACTCAGACCTGGATGAAGACAGCAATACCCCTCTGCCACAGGATCACTGTGACCTCCTCCTAGATGCCATCGATGCCCAGCTGAGCCGCCTGCAGGTCAGTGTGCTGCAGCCATCCTCAGGGTTCCACAGGGTTCCAGACTCAATCTTCTTTTTGTTTAGGATATCTTAAAGGCCCAGTGCAGTCAAAAACTAGATTTTCCTGTGTTTACACACTATGAGGTTGGAATAATATTGTGAAATTGTGAAAATGATGAAAATGCCTTTTTAGTGTAAGAGCTGTTTGAAAAGACTGCCTGACATTTCAGCCAGTTTTGGTGGGATGGAGTTTAAATGACTTAATAGACCAATAAGAAAGAGAGTTCCAAACCTCTCTGCCAATAACAACTAGTTTTCAGTTTTTCCCTCCCCACTCAGACCACTCCTAGACAGTTCTAGCAACATTCTTGCATAAGAAATTGGTCTTTGCTAAGAATCTATTTCTGTTTCTTTTTGCCAATTTTTATTGAAAACAATCACAGTAAGGTTCTGAATTGTTACCCATAAATGATTTGATATTGTGATAAAAACGGCTGCATTGGACCTTTAGAAGTTGTACCATCATGAACTCACTTGAGTAGCTAAATGTTCACAGGTGCAGAGCCATAGCCATAGAATTGAAGGTATCTCCAGAAAACATGATTGCCTCAATACAGGTATGTTGTTGTATGCAGTTTAATTTACTACAGCACACCTTGAGTGATACTTTTTGTCTAATAGTAACTCTCTAGTATTTTAATATCTTTATTGCTCTCATGCTCTGTTTATTATAGCTAATCTTAGCAATAGCCAGTCTGTGAGCAGGGATACAGGACTGGGAAGTACCATCCCCACTAACGACACCCCCATCTCTTGTCTTGACTTGGTACGCTCTGAGACCAAGGACCTATCTTCAGGTGAGAATGTTACATACAGTGTCCTCTTCAACTTGTCCCAATCCAGTCCTTACAGACATTATAACTTGATCCCTTTTAGAGTGTGAGGATTCTGAAATGATCAAGAATAATTTGCCAGAACTGAGCAACCAATACCACAGCATTACCATTAAGGAGAGAACCCTCAGAAAAAGGACTACTGGATATTAGAACTCACTGTCCAGAGACTCTTCTACCCTAACCCTCACACTACCCACATCACATAACCCAGCCTCTCTCCCATTCACTGACCTGGACCTTGGTTTAACCTGGATGTCTCTTACCCTTCCTCTCCCCTCTGCTCTACCCTCAGAGAAGAGCTCAGGAGAATGGGTGGACCCTGCCGATCAGGAGGAAGAGGAGCAGAGGACAGTTGAAGTGATGGAAGAGGAAGAGGAGGGTGTAGAGTCCCAGAGGGAGCAGTGTCGCTGGAGGCTGGAGAGACTGTTGGGGTTTGATGCCTGTGGAGGAGGAGGGTTAGCAGGAGAGCTGTGCCCCCCTCCAGACAGTGTCTGCACAGAGGACTTTGCCATGCGCTTCAGGGAGGAGATGGTGGTGGGACTTCCAGACAGAACCAAACAGAGACTGGCCAGAGACAGGAGTAAGAGCCTGGGACAGTCCTATGGAGAGGAAGAGGCTGAAAGGATAGCACCAGAGCAAGCATGTGGTCTCACTGCTGCTGGGGGAGAGGTTGTGGATAGAGGTATGGGTTATACAGAGTATCCCCATCACATGGACAAGCAAGGCCAGGAGAGCCAGACTCATCACAAGCATGGAGTGAGGAGAACTAGCTGGAGTGGAAACCTAGGGGCCAGTGAGAGCAACACAAGAGCACCACAGAGGCTTAGTGGTTTTAGCAGGAGTGAATGCTGTCTTCACTCTCTAGTGACTCCACCAGGGGGTGATAGACAGCTGTCAGTAGAGACATGTTCACTGTCCTCTGTGTTACCCCAGCCAGCCACAGGTGAGAGGGCTGACATCCTCCTGCGGTGGGTATAGTGTCAGAGTTGGCGGTAGTCATCTGAGGGGAAAGGGGACAGTAGTCATAGCAGTTACTGTTATACTGTAAGGGCTCTCACTTATTTTGTTCCTCCATTATGATACTGATGCTTCTGTCTGTTCCCACTGGTTCCAGTGTCAGTGCCTGGTCCTCCTAGCAGTAGCAGTGTTCGTACAGGGGTACTCATTGAGGCCTGTTCCAGTCTGAAGCCTGAGGGAACCAAAGAGAAAAGGAGCCACGCTTCTAGAACCACCACCAGACACCTGGCAGGTACTCTACCACACAGAACATTACTCGTTTAGCTCATACACTCTACCCTATTAATTAACATGGCTACATTTAGAGTGCCAGTCAAAGGTTTGGACACACCTACTCATTCAATGGTTTTCCTTTATTTTTTACTATTTTATACATTGTAGAATAATAGTGAAGACATCAGAACTATGAAATAACACATGGAATCATGTAGTAACCAAAAAAGTGTTAAACAAATCAAAATATATTTTATATTTGAGATTCTTCAAATAGCCACCCTTTGCCTTGATGAAAGCTTTGCACACTCTTGGCATTCTCTCAACCAGCTACACCTGGAATGCTTTTCCAACAGTCTTGAAGGAGTTCCCACATATGCTGAGCACTTGTTGGCTGCTTTTCCTTCACTCACGTCCGACTCATCCCAAACCATCTCAATTGGGTTGAGGACGGGGGATTGTGGAGGCCAGGTCATCTGATGCAGCACTCCAACACTCTCCTTCTTGGTAAAATAGCCCTTACACAGCCTGGAGGTGTGTTGGGTCATTGTCCTGTTGAAAAACAAATGATAGTCCCACTAAGCCCAAACCAGATGGGATGGCGTATCAGAATGCTGTGGTAGCCATGCTGGTTAAGTGTGCCTTGAATTCTAAATAAATCACAGACAGTGTCACCAACAAAGCACCACCACACCATAACGCCTCCTCCTCCATGCTTTACGGTGGGAACTACACATGCGGAGATCATCCATTCACCCACACGCGTCTCACAAAGACAAGGCGGTTGGAACCAAAGATCTCCAATTTGGACTCCTGACCAAAGGACACATTTCCACCGGTCGAATGTCCATTGCTCGTGTTTCTTGGCCCAAGCAGGTCTCTTCTTATTATTGGTATCCTTTAGTAGTGGTTTCTTTGCAGCAATTTGACCATGAAGACCTGATTCACACAGTCCCCTCTGAACAGTTGATGTTGAGATGTGTCTGTTACTTTAACTCTGTGAAGCATTTATTTGGGCTGCAATTTCTGAGGCTGGTAACTCTAATGAACTTATTCTCTGCAACAGAGGTAACTGGAACTTCCATTCCTGTGGTGGTCCTCATGAGAGCCAGTTTCATAGCGCTTGATGGTTTTTGCGACTGCACTTGAAGAAACTTTCAAAGTTCTTGAAATGTTCCGTATTGACTGACCTTCATGTCTTAAAGTAATGATGGACTGTCATTTCTCTTTGCTTATTTGAGCTGTTCTTGTCATAATAAGAAGGCACACCTGTTAGTTGAAATGCATTCCAGGTGACTACCTCATGAAACTGGTTGAGATAATGCCAAGAGTGTGCAAAGCTGTCATCAAGGCAAAGGGTGGCTATTTGAAGAATCTCAAATATAAAATATATTTTGATTTGTTTAACACTTTTTGGGTTACTACATGATTCCATATGTGTTATTTCATAGTTTTGATGTCTTCACTATTATTCTACAATGTAGAAAATAGTAAAAAAAAGAAAAACCCTTGAATGAGTAGGTGTGTCCAAACTTTTGACTGGTAGTGTACATGTTTTTGTCATTTACCAGACACCAAGGATATTCTAAGCAAAACAATTCAGCCATCTCTAACAGTAACTGCAGCCTCTTCGTGTCTCCCCCAGGAGTGCCTGTGTGGAATTTTGACACAGTGACCATCGACAGTGACCTGGACTCAGTACGCACAGAGAAGGTCTGGCAACACATCCACAGCAGGCCAGGTGAGAGGCAGGAGCTAGGGGCTATAACCACCATTCAGAAGGAAAATGAAGTAGTTCACATTATTAAGATCTGTCTTACGTCACCGTAGGATACCTCTCAGCCATTCAGTCTGTCAGCCACACGGATGGTCTCTACACTGACCAGAGTGACTATGACACACCCACTCAGGAGCCAAGGAATCTCAAGTTTACTCCAGGTAAGACTTTCAGGACTAGGCCTGATTATTGAATTATATAACTACACTATAACCCAATATGAAAATATATTTCTTTGCTTGTTTGTCCTGTGCTTGTGAAGCGCTGAGAGCTAGCAATGGAAATGTGACCAGTGACAGTCTACCTCTCCGTAAAGCACGCAAAAACAGAAGAGACACTCACAGGTAGCCTTCACTGAGTCAACAAAATGATGTGATACAATCTGACTAGTCATTCTTTGTTTCATATCCTTCACTATTGTATCTGTCAGCAGGTATGTACACTCTGTGGATGATGATGATGATGAGGACACAGATGAGGGGTGTGTCCGCTGGAGGAGGAGACGCAGGCCTGACAAGGACACAGGGGGGCACGTGTGTACGGTGAGAGATGGCACAATAACCAACGATAACTCCTGTGGCAGACAGTGAGGCTTTATGTCCATTGACTCTTATGGGGAAAGCCATCTGTTGATTGATATGCTTGTTAACACTTGTTCACTCCATATGAGTAGTTATTCTCCAGCTGAGATGTGTAATAACAGGCCTCCTGATACTTTGTCTCTCAAACCCTTGACTCCACTCAGCAGAGGCCTGGGGGTTGTCTGGTGGAGGTGAGGTCAGACTGGCTACAGATGGAGGAGGAGCTGGCTACCCTCAGACAGGTGAGATTCTTCTCACTCTACTCACCTCTCCTGATATTTCCTGACATTCAAGTATTATGCCAAGGATATGTTTGTTTTCTGTATTCTTCTGTGTCTTGTTGTATGTGTGTATTTATCTTTGTGTTTTAGGATTGTGAGAAGGAGGAGGAGAGACTGAGGATAAAGAGAGCTCAGCTGTGTGAGACTGAACTGTCCCTCACTGACCTTCTTCAGAAAAGAAAAGTACAATACATTACCTTCCATATTGTGACTAGTTCCTTGTCCTGTGAATCCATGACAACGGCTAACACTGAGATGTTCTGTGTCCCAGGATGCCGTGCAGGAGTTGGAGCAGCTGCGTGCGGGGGCGGAGCAGATGGAAAGGGAGGGGAGGAGTCTGGAGGCCAGCCTGAGCGACAGCAAGGCAGAAGCAGACAGCACCAGGTATCCACATAATCAACCCTGTTACTGCACTGTATCTCTTAAAATACAGTTTGCCAAAACAATACTCTTAGGAACAGCTTATACTGTATACAATACCTATTCTATACTCATCTCTATAATGTCCATTGCTGATTAGGCTGAATTCACAGTGATGTATTGAGTGTATTGTAGTTCTCAGCTGCGCCGGCTGCAGAGGCAGAGGGACTCCTGTCTGCAGGAGGTCAGGGATCTGAAGGAGGAGCTGGCTGCTCTATGTAAACACAGAACTGCCTTAACGGATGGGATCTGTGTGGACAGGGTAACACATGCTTTTTCTAGCCCACTTGACACTTTCCCCCCCTCTATTACAATCTAATTATTTAATTATTACCATTTCATGCCCTCTCTCCCCTACCTCCTCCCCCACTGTCTCAGAGAGTGACCAATGTCAGGATGTCTGTCCTTGAGAGAGAGGAGTTGGACAGACAGCTGAACACTGCCAAGACAGAGCTGTTTTCTGAGCAGCGGTGCTCTAGACTCAAACTGGACTCTATGCAAGAGGTACAGTATTAGACTGGTTCTCAGAACATGTTACAGTGATAGTCACTGCTTTGAATGTGTTTGAATTTGTTTCTCTGCATCTGTTGGCTCATGCGTGTGTATCAGAAGTTGGACGAAGCTCATGAGGAGCTCCAGCGTGTAACAGAGGAGGAGACGTTACTGAGGGATAGGTGTGCATGTCTGGAGGAGAAACGCAGACTGAAACAGGAGCAGGAGGAGGTACCATCTACACCTGTCTACCTTATTACCCTTTATCATAACCAGACCTAAGCTTTCACCACACCTCTGACCTCTATCTGTCTTAAGATCTCACTGTCTATCCGTCTCTCCCATCCTCTGTCTCTCAGGCAGTGGAGGTGCAGGTTTGTGAGCTGCAGAAAGAGCTGGGGGAGAGTGAGAGCAGGGTGGAGAGGATAGTAGCACAGAAGGAGCTGCAGCTGCTGGAGTTCCAGGAGGAGAGTAGTGCCTTGCAGGCAGAGCGAGATGGGCTGCAGGAGGAGCTCCAGAGCCTGAGGAAGCAGCACAGCATCTCCCTGAGAGAGACCCAGGAGCAGGCACTCACACAGACGGTGTGTGGGCTGGGTAGTCCCTAGTACACAGTGTCTATGGATGAGTCAGCTTGACTGTGCGTGTGAATGTCCGATTTTCCATCTTATACCAGCTCTCACCCATTATAAATGAGGGTAACTCACTGTGTGCATGATAGTGTGAAAGCATATGTAGTTAAATGTGTATGTGTGCAGTATGTAAGGGGTGGTTTTGTTTGTCTCCTTTAGCAGCGAGAGCTGGAGCAGTTGAAGAAAGAGTTGGCTTTGACTCATGAGAAACACATCCAGCAGGTGAGAGGCTCTGTCGACTGGGTTTATTTAACATTAGCAAAGATCTCCATATTTCCTTTATGTTTTCTATCAGATTCAAACATTGATGTTTTTCTTGCTGCTGTGTTTCCAGGCTAATATTCAAGCTGAAGAAGAGAAAATAGTTTCTCTCAGAGAACAGGCCTTGTCTCACACACAGCACATTGAGTCCATACAGAGCTGCATCCAGGTCCGTATCTCAGGCTGTCCTATCCTCTGAAAGTATCACACCATACCTTGCATAACTGTTCCTGGGTCAGTTTCACAGTTTCCTCTGCAGATGAAGGAGAATGAGTGGTGGAAGCTGAGGGAGGCTCTTAAGGAGCAGCAGGAGGTCATGAAGAGGCGAGAGGAGGAGCTGTGTGCAGAAGCTCAGGAGATGGTATATACTCCTACTTCCTCTGTCTCCTTTTCTGTCAGATGAAATGTATTGTAAAACTTAAAACAAATATGATAACAGTATCTGTTCTCTACCTTAGATGCACAGCACCATAGAGCGTGAGAGGAAGAAATGGGAGGTAGAGAAAGAAGAGGCTCTACAGTTGCAGTGTGCGATACTGGAGGAGCAAGGCCGGGAGGCTCTGGAGAGAGTGAGGGGAGAGAGTGAGAGAGAGAAGAGGAATGCCCTGGCTCTTCAAAACAAAGTGGTGGAATTGCAGACAGTAAGCAGAACCAAGATGGGGTGGGAGGTAGCCTAGCAGTTAGAGCGGTGGGCCAGTAACCGACAGGTTGAGGTTCGAATACCCGAGCCGACAATGTGAAAAAGGCACTTAACCCTAATTGCTCCAGGGTCGCTTTTGATAGTGGCAGACCCTGGCCGTTACCCCTCTCCGATGGTGTCTCAGGGGGATTTGGGATATGCAAAACTACACATTTCCAATTCATACTTGTACATGTGTGAAATAGAGATGTCAATCCTCTCTCCCTCCCCTCTCAGAAAGTGCAGGAGCTGGAAAGTGAAGGCGGTGTGCAGCAGAGTGAGCAGGCGTCTGCTCTGGCTGCAATGCGTAGGTCCCTGAGAGAGAAGCACCAGGCTGAGCTACAGAGACTGCGCAGGCACATGGAACAGGTGATGACAGGCGACCACCTTCTAAACTAGCATCTGGAGATGACTACATATGACATACAGTATACAGTGTATAGTTTCCAGGGGCGCAACTTTGGTTTTAGAAGTGGGGGGACATTTTTATTTATTACTATTACTTTTTTTATCCAGTCGGATAAACACTCCAAACAGCCTACCCGACTGCTCGGAGGCGTCCGCATGGTCCTAAAGCACACCGTTGCCTTGTTTTGTATCACATTCCTTCCAATAAAATTGGAGGGGACAAAAATGCAATTTCAGAATGTGGGGGGGACATTTCCCCCCGTCCACAGTGAAAGTTGCGCCCCTGGTTTCCAGTGTATGGTTGACATGGTGGACCGACTGGGCTGTGGTTGTAGGAGGGCGAGAGGGAAGCTTTGAGGCTGGAGCAGGTTGTCCAACAAGCAGAGGAGGAGGCTGGTAGACTGCAGGTGCTGCTGGGGGAGAGGGAGCACAGCAACAAGCAGGCCACAGCCAGGCTGGAGCAGCAGCACAGACACTGGGCCCGGGAGATGGGGGCAGAGTGTCAGCATCTACAGCACCTACTGGAATACAGTGGGGCCGTAGGGAGCTCCCTTCAGCTCCCACACAGGTACTCTCTCACATAGACACAAACACACACACTCATATTCTCTCTCATACACATACAGAAGCACACATTTCATTATCAGCATATGAATTTGGATATAGTACTGTGTATTCTAATATTTGGTGCTGTGCTGCAGTCCTACGGTGGCCCAGGCAGTCCAAACCCTGCAGGCCCTCAGAGAGCAGTTGCAGCAGTCAATCAGCCAAATACAGCAGGAGCTTGACTCACAGAGACGCAGCACTCAGCAGCTGAGCCGGGACAAAGTGTGTTCAGGACACACTCACTAAAATACACACAAACACACACAGATACAGCACATACAAACATGCTTACACTCTTGTTGCGTTACACATGCTGTTAAGAATCACATTTGTGTGCTATAGGAGCGGGAGTTACGTATTCAGAGGGAACAGATGGAGATGGAGAGAGAGCAGGCTGTGGACTCACTGAAGGAGAGACTCATTCAGGTATGGATCCCACTGTTTTTGTGAGACACACACACACACACACCGTGTACCATCATATATTAATGCTGCAGGAGCACATTGAGGAGCTGAGCGGTCTGCAGCGAGCCCAGGTGCGGGAGGGAGGAGACGAGGCAGGAGGTTTGGCTGCATCCCTGCGCAGGCAGCTGCAGGCCAAAGACCAGGAACTGCGCCAGGTGCAGAGGAGCATGGGACAGTGGAAGGAGCAGACCACGGCTCGCCTGGCACGCAAGTTTGAGGAGGAGCTGACAGCTGAACTGGAGAGGTATGTAGCGTACAATCCCACACTATTTACACAGAGTCGACTTTTAAAGGAGTCACTCATCCTTATTTTTTCAGATGAAGGTGTGCAGGCTTTGAAAAGGTTGTATCATTAACTGACTTTGGGAAGTGTTCTGTTGTGTTCAGTGTTTTCACTTTTCCCACTCCACAGGTGCAAGGCAAAGTTGTTAAAGGGGAGGTAACTGACTTTACCATTTTGAGACAGCATGTCTAGAGACTAAGCCTAGAGTCTAACTCACTAACTAGTCATCCCATTCTTCTTACAAACCATCATCATCATCATCATCATCTCAACTCACTGTAGAGCAGTTCTGTTCAGTAGTTTGTACACTGTTAGCACTGATGTGTTTATACAGTGACATTAACCATCAAAGTTGCACGTTAGTTATGCTCTGTCAGGAGAAGATATTTCCTACAGACAATCTATAATATCTGGGTATGTTTGTGTTGCAGAAAGGCACCTAAGGCAGAAGAGGAGAAGCAGAGGAAGCTGGAGAAACTGAAAGGGGAGATGGGACGCATTACTGGGGTAAACATCACCATATAAGACCTGCGGGAGCCTGGGCATGAAGCTACTCTAAGGAGGGTTTGTTTGTGCTGAAGTAGTTTACTGGTTGTTGGTTAAGGCTAGGGTTAACTGAATGTGCAGTTAAAGTTAGGGTAAGGGTTAGGGTTAGCACGGTAGGGTAAAAAGCATGACATTTTTATTATTCAGTTGGATAAAAGTATTATTTTGAGGTGGGTAAACTGATTGATTAATTTAAGGCCTAGATTCAATCAGATCAAGCATAGCTGATGTTTTGGCAGACGGAGGTGTAACTGCGTTAGAGCTGTCAAATCAGTAAGCAGCTGCTCATGGTCATTGTCACGAAGCCACACCCGTCCCACTCGCGTTAGAAGTTCAGAATGAGAGTGTAGGCTATATAGAAATAATGAGGATTTCTATTGGCCTAATCAAGGTGTAGATTAAATCACACATTCCAGTGTTCAAACTTGTAAACACGGCTGCATGGGATTCCTACTAATGTGAATCCGTGGCAATGTCCGCGATAGGTATAATGCCGGGAGCCACTTGTGGATTTGACAGGTCTAATGCAGTTCGACCTCAGACACCGTCAAAACACCAGCTATGTGGGTGTTGGCTAACGCGTATCTGATTGAATAAAGCCCTAAATTAGATAAACATTATTTTGAGTTGGATCAATTTATTTTGAGTTGATGGAATTATTATTTTTGATTTGGATAAATGTATTATTGTGAGTTGGATTAAATTATTATTATTATTATTAATAAATTAATCAATCAGTTTACTCAAAATAATAACTCTACACAAATCAAAATAATTTCATACAATTCAAATGACCAAACTCTAATTATTCAATAACCCTAACCATAGCATAACCCTAACCCTAGAAATAGCCCTAACCCTAAACTTAACCCTAGCTTCATGTCCACACCCCTCCGGCTTGGAATGCAATTCTCATCAAATGAATGGGAAGTCTGAATACGAGGCAAATGTAAACAAGTTAGGACACCAGAAAGGGGCTGAAATACAGTACTACCCTGGGGAAAATGTGACATCTGGTAACCATAGAGGCTACTTTAGGGCCTAGATTGAATCTTTCCTTCTCTACTCCTTTGTCTGTCTCTAATCCCCAACCCTCTGCTCTCCTCTCCCATCTCCCTGTCTCCTGTTAGGAATGCAGTGACTCTGGAGCTCAGCAATCAGCATCCTCTCCCTCCCTCCACATTGGGGAACCCCCTACCTCCCCCGGGTCCTCAGACCTGGCCTCCTTCAAGCTACTGCGTCACCTCCAGAGCCGGGTCAAACAGCTCCGTGCTGAGAACCAGGCCCATGCCTGCAGCTCCTCTCAACTGGGCAAGACCCCACTAGGCAGGGCCCCAATGGAGCTGGCTGGGTCCTACCTGGAAACAGTGAGTTCTACGTGCCAACTGAGTGGGGAGGCAATGACATCCTCTGTCCTACTAATAGTAATAACTTAATAATAATAGTATTTTGGGTCCTGATTTAAATGAAGTGCTATTTACAAAGGCTTCATAAAGCATTCATAAAGACTTCATAAACACTACATAAATGAGTCACAAATTATCTATAACCGTATGTCATGCTCTGTAAAGGATTCATAAATGTGGCATAACCTACTATGCCAAATATGACATTAACCAGTGCTTATTAAAGGGTGACATAAGCACCACTTAGTAAAGGCTTTATAAATCATATTAAATTGAGGCTTCACAAAGCATCTATAACCTTGTCATGTCATACTCTAAAACATTTCTAGGAGGGCCCAACCTCTTTCCCTCTTGGGTGCGTAGCCAATATTGGACCTTACCCCAACCTTCATAAAGTGCAGTCATGGTAGTCACATTACACCAGGCACAACTTACATTGATGAAAGCCCCCAACATCAGAAAATGGAAAGTGGCTTTCTTCTGGGACCAAGTTATATCTTCCTCAGTACACGAACATGCACAGTCGCACACAACAATATAACTTGAGCCAAACTGTGCGGTGCTGGACCCAGTCAGGTCTTTGACACATTCACCCTCTCCCGCTGAAAGATCAACCACAGAATGTTCCGGTTGTAATCAAGGGCTAGATACTGTACTTACTTTGAAGTCAGACGCCTTATGTTATTCATAACACCTACATAAGGCTTAATGTTGTAAACATTGTTGGGCCGCCCATCCTATAAATGTTTTACGTGTATGACATGCCAAGGTTATGGGTCTATAATCTATAGATCGCCTCATCTAGCTCTGTGAAGCCTTTATTAAGCAGTGCTTATGTCACTCTTTAAAAATCACTGGTTTATGCTATATTTGACAAAGTGGGTTATGTCACATTTTCCATGGGTGGTTATGCCACACAGTTATGCCACATTTATGAATCCTTTATAGAGCATGACATATGATAATAGATTTTGACCCATTTATGTAGTGCTTATGAAGCCCTTATTTGGTCTGTCATATCTGGTAAAACCAGTGGTGTAAAATACTTAAGTAAAAATACTTTAGAGTACTACATAAGTCGTTTTTTGGGGTATCTGTACTTTACTTTAATATTTATATTTTTAGCAACTTATACTTTAACTTCACTACATTCCTGAAGAAAATCATGTACTTTTTACTCCATACAGTTTCCCTGACACCCAAAAGTACTCATTACATTATGAATGCTTAGCAGGACTGGAAAATGGTCCAATTCACACACTTCTCAAGAGAACATCCCTGGTCATCCCTACTGCCTCTGATCTGTTGGACTCACTAAACACATATGCTTGTTTGTAAATGATGTCTGAGTGTTGGAGTGTGCCCCTGGCTATCCATAAATTTAAAAAACAAGAAAATTGTGCCGTCTGGTTTGCTTAATATAAGGAATTTGAAATTATTTATACTTTTACTTTTGATACTTAAGTATATTTTAGCAATTACATTTACTTTTGATACTTAAGTATATTTAAAACCAAATACTTTTAGACTTTTACTCAAGTAGTATTTTACTGGGTGACTTTCACTTTTACTTGAGTCATTTTCTATTAAGGTATGTTTACTTTTACTCAAGTATGACACTGGGTACTTTTTCCATCACTGGGTAAAACAAGCTTCAGTGTATCTTTGTGTTGGCATGGTTTATGATGTGTTACTAAGGAGAAGTAGTGGTGGGGTGGGCGACATTTTTGAAAAGTTGAAATGCAGTTTTAAAAGTATTCTCTGGAGTAATAGGTATATTCTATCTGTAATTCTTATCCAATCAGATCACACCATCCCAGGAATGCGCTCAGTTTTGGAGTCGTTCCCGTTCCAGGACAGTCCAGAGTGAAGGACTGTGAGTTTTGCCAGATGACAACGAGTGTGTGTTTGAAAAATGAATTACTGGAGGACAGCAATCTCAAATCACTTCAAGGTACTCGTAAACTGGATGACACATTTGGGGTAAATGGCCTAAAGGTCAAAATGGGTTAAGTTGATGTTCCTCTGCCTTTGGAGCAAATACGTTTTACTGCTTGGCTAAAGGTTGGGGACTGAGTGAATGTTTGCTCAACCAACTGACATGTCTGCATAGTGCCTATTCCGGAGCTGTGACTCTTTAGGCAGAGGGATCAAGCTGAAATTAGGACCGTTTGAAGAAGCAAGTCATCTTGTGTCAGTTTCTTGCAGTTGCTCAATGTACACTCGGCCAGTTTATTGGGTACACCCATCTAGTACCGGGTCGGACCCCCCTGAATTCTATGGGGCAGGGATTCTACAAGTCGGAAATGTTCCACAGGTATGTTGGTCCATGCTGATGCAATGGCATCAGGCAGTTGCTGTAGATTGAACGGCTGTCCCATTGACACCAGGCAGGATGGGTCCATGGACTCATGCTACTTACGCCAAATCCTGACTCTGCCATCAGCATGATGCAACAGGAACCGGGATTTGTCGGACCAGGCGATGTTTTTCCACTCCTCAATTGTCCAGTGTTGGTGATTGCATGTCCACTGGAGCGGCTACTTCTTGTTTTTAGCTGTTAGGAGTGGAACCTGGTGTGGTTGCAATAGCCCATCCGTGACAATGATCGACGAGTTCTGCGTTCCGAGATGCCGTTCTGCACACCACTGTTGTACTGCACCATTATTTGTCTGTGGTCCGCCTGTTAGCTTGCACGATTCTTGCCATTCTCCTTCGACCTCTCATCAACGAGCTGTTTTCGCCCACAGGACTGCCACTGACTGGATGTTTATTGTTTGACGCACCATTCTCGGTAAACCCTAGACACTGTCGTGCGTGAAAAGCCCAGGAGGGTGGCCGTTTCTGAGATACTGGATCCTGCGTGCCTGGCACCGACGATCATACCACGTTCAAAGTCGCTTAAGTCACTCGTTCTTCCCATTCTAACATTCAATTGAACAGTAACTGAATGCCTTGATGCATGTCTGCCTGCTTTATATAGCAATCCACGGCCACGTGATCCATTTTTGTGAACTGGGTGGTGTACCTAATAAACTGGCTGGTGAATGTATACTTCAGATTGCATGCATATTTAAGTTGTACAGATAATCCAAATATTTGTTTTTATTTAGAAATACATTTTGTTAGGAACTGGAATAAACTTTTAATATTTAAAATCCGTGATTTTTCATACTCTATGTACCTTTGTCATTAAAACATTGTACATGAACACCATAAGCAATAAATAATTTATTTAGAAACAGATATAAAGTTGTAACACTCATCTGGCTAATGCTTCTGTTAAGGTGCATATATGAGAGGATACAATCAAAATGTACAATGATGGTGAATTTTAGTACATTCATTATTTTTCACATTATTGTAGGAAGACCAACATAGCTGTCTTTCCTCCAAAGCAAACTGGTATACTATAACTTAAAATGCATAACAACAGTTTAAAGAAAGCTGACATGCTTTCAGCAGACTTTATTCTTGAATGCGGAAACAAGGACCAAACCAGCTTTAAACAGTAACTGTTCTTAAAAACATAACCCCACTGGGGCTAAAAGATGAGTATAAAACTTTCATACTGACATTATCGGAGCTCAACGCCCCTACTTCCCTTTGAATAAAGTTGAATGTATTACATCCTTGTTCTTTGTAAACCAAAGCATTGGCTAAGCACAGATCATATTTGCTTGCATTTAATGTAACTACAACAAAACAGAGACTTCTCCAAGTTGGCTAAGCAGTCTGCTATGAAACAGTTGTTACAACAGAATGTATTAGACCATTTAGAAATATCAGAAACTCTTGACGTGTGCTGCCACTGGTCTTAAACTTCAACATAGACATTCCATTAAAGGGATAGTTCGGGATTTTGGCATGAAGCCCTTTATCTACTTCCATGCTAGCTGATTCCAAAGACTTCTAGTCTTTGCGCTAACGCTAGTTAGCATTGGCTCGCGATATTGCCTCTAACTTCCTTTATACTGGACGCAGACATAAAAATGGTATCCACAAGTTCATCTGAAGTATATAAAGATCTTCATTTCCAAAATCCCAAACAATCCCTTTAAAAGGTGTCTTAATAAAATTACTGTGGCTTTGTGGTCCTTGCTATAATTTGTCCCATTGCATCTTTTCCTGGATCATAGTAGACAAAGGGATACTGCAAGATTTCAAGATTTAGGTCATTTTTCTACTTACCCAGAGTCAGATGAACCCATTTTTAGGTCTCTGCATGCAGTTTGGAGATCATTGAAGTTAGCATATCATTAGCTTAGCACAATTACTGCAAGTCTCCAGGTACAGTAGCCAGCTCCTCTCACAAGCAGGGAAATATACCTAGCTACTCCAAAGCTGGGTGGTTGGTAATTTATAGTTTTACAATATTTTATCAATTAATTAATTTGACTGATAATCATAAGAAATGAGATTCACTTCCTCATTCTGTCCCGTTGTCGCATAAAGATCGCAACGTTGTATCTATCAATGGCGCTGCCCGTATGCCCACAGACGCCATAATGGGACAGATACAACGTTATCTCTATACATCTTTGTGCGGCAACGGGACAGAATGAGGAAATGGACAGAATCTCGTTTCTAATGATTATCAGTAAAATTAACTAATTTATAAAATATCGATTAACATGTATAGCTTTGTGAGACTATACAGTGCCTTCAGAAAGTATTCATAACCCTTGACTTATTTCACATTTTGTTGTGTTAAAGCCTGAATTAAAATTGGTTAAAATTGATTTGCCTTCCTCACCCATCTAGACACAATACCCCATAATGACAAAGTGAAAACATGTTTTTTGAAATTTTTGCAAATTGATTGAAAATGAAATGCAGAAATATCTCATTTACATAAGTCTTCACACCTGAGTCAATACATGTTAAAATAACCTTTGGCAACAATTACAGCTGTCTTTCTGGTTAAGTCTCTAAGAGCATTGCACACCTGGATATTTGTACAATATTTGCACATTATTCTTTTTTTAATTCTTCAAACCGATTTAAGTCCAAACTGTAACTAGGCCACTCAGGAACATTCAAGGTCGTCTTGGTAAGCAACTTCAGTGCATATTTGGCCTTGTGTTTTAGGTTATTATCCAGCTGAAAGGTGAATTTGTCTCCCAGTGTCTGTTAGAAAGCAGACTGAACCAAGTTTTCCTCTGGGATTTTGCCTGTGCTTAGCTCTATTCCGTTTATTTTTATCCTAAAAAACTCCCTAGTCATTGCCGACGACAAGCATACCCATAACATGATGCAGCCACCACCATGCTTGAAAATATGAAGTGGTAAGAGGAACAGCCTGAAGAGGATCTGCCCCAAACATAATGCTTTGTATTCAGGATATAAAGTTCATTTCTTTGCACATTTCTTTTTGCAGTTTTACTTTAGTGCCTTATTGCAAACAGGATGCATGTTTTGGAATATTTGTATTGTGTACAGGCTTCCTTCTTTTCACTCTGTCATTTAGGTTAGTATTGTGGAGTAACTACAATGCTGTTGATCCATCCTCAGTTTTCTCCCATCAAAGCCATTAAACTGTTTTAAAATCACCATTGGCCTCATTGTGAAATCCCTGAGCGGTTTCCTTCCTGTCCGGCAACAGAGTTAGGAAGGACGCCTGTATCTTTTTGGTGACTGGGTGTATTGATACACCATCCAAAGTGTAATGAATAACTTCACCATGCTCAAAGGGATATTCAATGTCTGCTTTTTTTTTTTTTTTTTACCCATCTACCAATAGGTGCCCTTTGTGAGGCATTAGAAAACGTCCCTGGTCTTCATGGTTGAATCTTTGTTTGAAATTCACTGCTCGACTGAGGGACCTTATAGATCATTCTATGTGTGGGGTACAGAGATCAGGTAGTCTTTCAAAAAGCATGTTAAACACTATGATTGCACACAGAGTGAGTCCATGCAACTTATTATGTGACATTTTACTTCTGAACTTATTTAGGCTTGCCATAACCAAGGCGTTGAATACTTATTGACTCAAGAAACTTCAGCTTTTAATTTTTTATTAATTTATAAATGTTTCAAAAAATATAATTCCACTTTGACATTATAGGGTATTATGTGTAGGCCAGTGATACAGTCTCAATTTAATCAATTTTAAATTCAGGCTGTAACAGAACAATGTGGAAAAAGTCAAGGGGTGTGAATATTTTCTGAAGGCATTGAAAATGACCAACCACACCCAGCTGTAGAGTAGTTAGGTCTATTTCCCTGCTTTTGTGAGGAGCTGGCTACTGTACTACCTAGAGCAGAGTATGTGAGCAGTCGGAAATCCCGCTCCATGTAGCGGTACTTGCGCATACTCTGGCGCTCCATGTCCTTTCCAACTGCTCTGCTAAAAACTGCTCTTTGCTCACAGGAAAATAAACTGCTGCTCCAAATTCACTCCACTCATTAAAATCACAATTTATTTAACCAACACCGATCTATTTTTGTGACTACCTGGACCTACCATTTCGTTTGAAGTATTGAAACCAAACCATATGATTTGAATGAAAAGGTGAACGTAAGAAGCACTCATCATTTCAAATAGGCTACATGTCATATTAAACAGCATATAAACACTCTAAATAGGTCAGAGCCAGACAGGGAACCTAAGAAGGAACAAAAATGAATTATTTAGGCTATATTATTTTAATTATTTCAAGGCTATAGCCTACAAAGAAATACATAGTGAAGCATTTGCGAGTGCAACACTAGGCTGGTGGGGACATAAAGGGCTCAGCATTTAAACAACATTTCATTGTATTAAATCATTAGTCTATAAATTGCGCATATAGGCTGTGACTAACTTAGAATTAAATACAAATTAAACGAAAAATGCCTTATTAGGCTGTGCTTTTTAATTCATTTTTAGAAACACGAGTTTGGCCAGTCTGTTGCTTCAGGCTCATGCCTGGTGCCTGGAGAGCAGGCCAGCAGCAGAGAATATCCTCTCCACGCTTGCAGAGCCACTGGGATGGTAAACACCCTTTTGGCCACTCTTGCCAGGCTGGGCAGAGATGTTTTTATTCTTGTATTTTTATATATAGGTAGGCCTAAAGGTTCAGGCAAAATAACCCAATCAAAACAGAACGCTCCTTGAAAGTGAGAATATGCCAGGCCTATTGGGCCAAAATCAATGATGGCCTATTGTACAGATAATAGAAAACAATTTACGAAACTTTTAAGATATCTGATTTTTTGTTTATAAATACTTTGCTACAATGACACACTTAGCTAGCTACCCACCTCGTTCCTTTATGTTAGATGTGCACATAGTAAGTACACCATCATGCTTTCGGGATACGTGTCTTTTCAGATTCCACAATGATTATTTAGTTGTGGACACTACATCACCGCACTCCCTCTCCTGCTCCTCATCTTCGTAAGTCACCTTGATTTTGCACCTGTGTGTTTTATCAGTTTCTTTATGAAAATATTTAGCGAACTCCATGACAGAAGCTAGAGCAAGGGGCTATAGCAGCACACAAGTAGACTACAAATGCATGCTGGGCCGGGCTTGCCCTGAGCTCGTGAAGTGAGCGCTATTGGAGCGAGAAGGCCGCGCTCCAGTCAAATGGGCACGCTCCGCTCACATACTCTGACCTGGAGACTTCCAACAAATGCGCTAAGATAACATTATGCTAACTTCCATAATCTCCAAACTGCACGCAGACATAAAAATGGTATCCATGAGTTCTTCTGACACTGGGTAAGTAGAAAAACAACAACAAACCCAACATTTATTTACGTTGTGATGCAGTGACGACCACAAGTCTCTTTTGGACGAGATTTACTTTATTACCAAAATTATCCTATTTACACTTTGTATTCAATTTTGACAGTAGAATAAATGGTTCTCACTCATATTGATGCCACATAGGCTGTTTTCTAAATGAGAAGTTGGTTTTTAGAGGCAGTTGCTCTTTAAATCCAGTATTATCTGACTATAACACAAAGAAAGTGGGTACATACATGTGCCATGCTGCCCAACAGCCTGGTCTTGATCCAAAGCGGACGTTCATATCACTGTGAAGCTTTTGGATCTGTCTATACAGTTTTTTCTGCCTCTCCATGGCTTCTCTGAGGGGCCAACCAAGTGATCCAAGGCTGAGACCTGTAGCTACTCTGGGCATTCCTGATGCTGGGTCTCCAAAGCCCTACAGCTCCATGTCCTCCTCTCCAGAGCTGTGGGCCCCGGCCCCTGGGCTGCAGTACAGAGGGGAGTACGTCTCCCCTGGGGGGTTTGTGGGGGTGGAGGGAATCTGAGGTGTAGGAGTGGCACTGGGGGTCGGGGGTTGCCTGCTGGTAGTCTGCTGCTTCCTCTGCAGGGAGTCTTTCAGCTTTCGGGCCAGCGCATCCTCTGGGAGGCGCCATACTACCAGCTCCATACAGGAGTGGCTCCTATGGGAACAGGAGAGGAACAGGTGAGTCGATGGGACTGAAAGAGAGAAACAAATAGTGAACACCTCCAAAAGGTATAACGTTTATTCACTACTGGCCACCATGACAGACGGGTCAGGGTTCTATACTAACTTTTCCCACTGTTGCCACTGATGCTACCAACCTTTTCAGTTGGTGGCACCAGCACATGATTTGTTCACACCAATTTTTGTAAGAATTGTTTTAAGAATGATCTGGCCCGTGTCCCATAATGTGCCTGCATTCCATACAGAACCAGGCTAATGACTAGCCATCTTTTAAATTACCATACCCTTGAGTGCTTACATTGATTTGGATAGATTTACTGTAACAGCAAAGAAAAGAGACTGTTAAATGTATTTATTGCAGATTTTAAAGTGCCACGTGTTCTTTTTTGCAAAATCCTTGAGAGCAGAATTTGAAAAAACGATACTTGATACCACAGCAACAACAAAAGGAAAGCGGGGAGAAGGACTGTGATTTCTTTTTTTTAATAGAAAAACAAAATGGGATGTTCTAAATCCACAACAATGCTTAAACCACATCAGGGGCAATTCTTTAGGTCTGGGAAAAACTTGAGACATTTATATTTCTTTGTGTAGTTACCCTTTAATTCAGGTTCACACCAGCCAGACAGTTGTGTTCGCTAGTGGTGTTTCTGTAGCACACAATGTGATGGAGTTTTCAAAACAAATGGCCACTGGATTGATGCAAATAATCATGATTTCCCAGTGCCAACTGAAAGCTACTGGCCCGAATGAGAAAAATACTGTCCCGGGTCAAGATCTGACCGGAAAGCGAATGATACGTGCATAATTTCAATAGCAGGTGATTTTATCTTTCATTTACGGGCTGAGCAAGTAGCCTATACAGGGTTCATACAGACATTGGCAAGTCAAATAAAAATGACTTTCAAGGACTTTTTCAAGCACTTAATTGTAATGTTCAAGGACCTAAATTGTATATTTAATTGTTGTACCAGCCTATAGAAAAAAATAACTCCCCCCAAAATGTATGCAAAAAAAGTATGTATTACCATTGAACCCTGTGGGTAGGTAGGTACTTGAATGAAATGTTCCTCTGAGGTGGGGGATGAGAAGGAGAGGAATACTTACACAGACTGGGCCACAGTGTGGGGGAGAATGTCACTGATGCCACGCTGAAGCCCCTCCCTCAGACTGTCAGACATCACCAGCACTGGCCGCCTGGGTGCTGGCTCTACATCCAGGTCCTCATCATCATCATCATCATCATCCTCCAGGGTGATCCTGACAGAAACAGACTAACTTCACTGTATGACAGAGTGTGTAGTGCACGGTGCAGACAAAACAAATGGTGATAATGCTAATACAAGTTATATTCAGTTACAATGCATATTGAAATTATGATGAGTTATGGACAGTAACAGAAACTGGAATCTCTCACATTGCCCTCATAAGGTCTCTCATAGCTAACCTTTCCTCAATCTCCTGCAGTCTCCTATGAGCAGTCGCCACCTCGATGCAGGAGCCTTCTGCTTCTGGACGGGCCAGATGGGAGGGAGACCCGGATATGGGCAGCTCCAGGTTCTGAGTCCCCAGGCAGTGCTGGGGAGGTGCTTGGCTGGCTGATTCAGGTAGAGGGGAGCAGTTGTTGCCTGGTGGCCAGATCTGACACACATTAGGGCTGAGGTCATCCAAAGGATCACATCCTGCCTCTCCCATCAGCCTCCTCTTTTTGGCACTGCATCCTCTGGAGAACAAACACAAATAATTTGTCCTTTGAAACTAACATGCGCTGCAGAATAAACACTGACGTTCATATTATAGATTTTTCCTATTCTTAACTCACTCGTCATCTGCTCTCCTCCTGTGCTTTCTCAGGCATCGTCTCTCCCAACTCCTGAAGAAATAGCAATAAGAGAAAAAGAAACGCAAGTAAAATGTAATGCCAACATGCTAGCAAGTCTGGGTCTTGCAAAACTCCTGTAAAGCACATGGTTGTTACATCTGTGTGTATTGTGCAGCGGTCCCATCAGTAGAAGCAACACAAACATAGACACATGCATACAAACACACGATAACATACGCACTATACACATATGTACACATGGATTTTGTGTTATAGATATGTGGTAGTAGAGGCCTGAGGGCACACACTTAATACATTGTGAAATATGTTATGAATGTATTGTAATGTATTGTAATGTATTGTAACTGCCTTAATTTTGATGGACCCCATGAAGTGTAGCTGCTGCCTTGGCAGCAGCTAATGGGGTTCCATAATAAATACAAATACAAATACTCACGTGCTTGGGGGCGACACTCCTGGCAGGTGTTGAAAGGTATTTGCAGAGCCAATATTGATCCCCATTTCAGGTACATTGATAAAGCCAGGGAATGAGTACATGGCAGGCAGAAAGCCCAGCTCGCTGCTCATGGGGCTGGGATGATGCTCCCGGTTTATCTGAGGTGGAAGGGTTGAACAAAAGCCTCGATGGTAGATGAGCAGACAGAAACAAGGAGGATAAATTGACTTCTTGAAGGCCAACCTAGAAAACAGAAATCGATTATTATAAAAATGAACCATTTTACAGGCATGTGTGTAGCTGTCAGTGGTGCACAGATGGATATAACTAATAAATAATGTTTGGTACAGCAGCGATAGCTGTTGTTTTGGTCACCTATCCATCATAACAAATATTACTTTTAACTACTGTACTAGCTAATGTCGACTCAGCTAGCTACTAATTCTGAATCTTGTAAATTGTCACTCTTCTTCGCCTAGCGTTATGGCTAGCTGCCTTGATCAAATTTAAATTATCCAATAAAGTTATGAGGCCCTGAAATTTAACTAGTTTACATACCGTTGATAGCCACAGGGTTAGTTCTGTGTAATCTTTGGTAGCTAGTTAGCAAGCTTGCTAAAATTACTATTAGCAAGCTAGCGGAGTCAGCTGCCTAGCAAACTTTATTTCACAGGAATAAATAGTCTTTAACATTAAATAAAGGTAGCCCTTCATAATCAGTAAAGAATGGCTTGCCTTGCTCTTCTGCAATATATTCGTCTCGGGCTATCTATGGCTAGCAAGCTAACTAACTAACTTAGGTAGCTAGCCAGTTAGCACTAAGGGTACAACATGACCCGCCCCGCCCCCTGCCTGTTATTGTTGTTGCATGTGAACCCCTGTTGCAGTTCGAACTTCGAATTCTTGAACGTATTTAGCTAACAAACATACCTGTATAACTTTCACTGCGTTTATCTACCTCTTTATTTTCGCTGTCACATTTTCAGCTTTTCTGAGAATAAATTCTGGGTTGAATGAATGCATTGAAGTGAGGTGCTAAGAACCACCAAGTACACTGCGCAAATGCTGATGAAGAATCGAATCGCGCAAAAAAACTCGTTCACGTTCAACAAAAGACTTGAGCATGCGCTTCTGAGACAACACCAGGTCACTTGACACGACCAATACATGAGAGCAATGTCAACATAAAATCAAGTTAAAGAAGGTATCCTCTTGTCTTGACAACAAGGTCACTCTACAGGTAAGCGACATAGATTTGGATCATTAAGATGAATCATGTGTGAAATGTCATTTTAGGAATAGCTAATCTATTGGCTTGTCTATCAACAACAATAGGGTAGGGATGGACAGCCGAGTAAACTCAACTCCGTTCGTAGAGATTTATGGACGGGGTTGAGTTTACTCAGCTAGTTTGGACACTTATTTTCACTATATAGCGAACGTTAGTTGGCTACTGTAAATGAAAATCTATTGATTCTAGCTGTTTTTTTCCCCTCTCTAAGGTTGGTCAAAATGTATACCCTGTACATTGTGAGTGGACTGCTGGCACTGGTTGCAAGCAAACCCTGTGGTAACTATAATTTATCCCAGAAACACAATATTAGAACACCTGATTGGTCAAGGTCAATATAAAAAATATATATAACTTATGAAACGACCACCTATGTTTGTCCTCTGTAGTTGCATGCCTTTGTTTGTTGAAATCCATACTTTTTCATGAAACGTTAATCAAATACAAGCACCGATTGTTGCTCATTGCTGTTGCTCTAAGGGTGTTTTCACACTTGGTCTCTTTCAGCCATTTTTTGTGTGCAGTGCGAACACTCTAAAGGAACTCAGACCCCTCAAAAGAGCCCCTGAAGCGAACCGAACTGAGACCATCTCGAAAGGTGGACTGAGTTCGGTTCGGTTGAATTCCGCGGTCCGGGTCCCTTTTTTAGGGCAATGTGAACGCAACGCTCCGCAGGTTCGCTTGTCATTATTCATGCACCACACACTAGACTACTGCAACACCGTTTCCCTTGCCAAAAACCCTCACGTTGGTGCCACAAGAGAATATGGTGCAGGTTCGCGGGGGGTAAATGTGTGCTGTTTTTGGATATTGATTAGCGATTGTCAAGGACGCACAGAAATTCCAAAATGTGTGAGTTTTTAGTTCAGATTATTTGTTTGCAATATGTGATCTATAGACTAAGAGAGCTTCATACGCTATTTATTGATTGTGGGGTTTGAATAGTGTGTGAAGACAACATATTTGGAGAGAATCACAACATAGGGTACAACATATATTCTAGCTTTAAAGGGGCAGTAGCCTACCTTGGGTGTACAATTTTCAATTACAGCATTATTTATTTTGCAGTTATTCTATTGCTATGTATTCTGTTAGCAATAAAATTTACATGTTTATAGTATCTTCTGATTACAATTATTATGTCTCATATTTTAATTAAATGCAATCTATTAACTTCCAAAATGTAAGTAGGTACATCTAGCTGTCCGATAACACATTCTGATTGAATGGCTTGTCCTGCACTGTAAAAACCCAGAGTGCATTGAGTGAATGTTGGACAAAGATATTGGTTCCTTTCTAAACATAGCAATGTGAATGCAAAGAGGACTCGTTCCACAAAATAGATGAAGTGAACTGGCAAAATAGTTGATTCTTCATTCAAAGGCAAGGGCAGTGTGCATACAAAACAGAACTGAAAATATATCCTTTATAGTAAAAGCAGTGAATGAATCTATCATCGTATTTACAGGTCAGAGAAAAACTAGCCATTTATAAACATTTCACGCAATTCTACGTAAGTTACAGGCCAATGCCAAATCAGTGTGTTTTGTTTGCAACAAAATTGTCCCTGTTTGCAAATATTTACATCTGAGACGTCATTAGGAATCTGAGCATGGTACTTTCAAAAGTTGCGCCTACCTTTCCACCCCAGAAAGAGTAGGCCTACCGACGCAGAAAAATGTAAGCTTTAACTGCTGGATACTCTTCTTCCGTTGCTTAACCCAACCCATCGGACTCACGTCTTTCCCGGGTATTTTACAGCTTGTCTCTAGCATAAAGCATTGTGGACCAAAGCGTTTTTATAGATCTCTTTATATAATTGGATCCCATTCTATTTTCTTCAAAATCTTAAGCTAACAAGGGGTAGGCCTGTGCTTTTTTTTCCAATTATTCTTTAATAAAAGGTAGGCCGATGGCAAACCCCCTCAATTCGAGTCTTGGTTTTAACTTAACAGCCCTTCACTGACACGAGGTAGGCTATTTAAAGAGTGCATGGTGGGTGGAGGAATTTACCCACAAATCTATGGATATAGCAGCCTATAGCCTAATTTACATCTGTCAAACAAGTAGGCCTACCTCTTATTTCTTAAATAGGAAGAAATAAGCTCCAACACAAAGCCCTCTTGTTGTTAGTAAAGTCTAATTAAAATGTAGACAGTTGAAATGAATTATGCCTACTCGAATTTGCCTACTTTCAGTACCATGAGCTGTCCATTTCTGATTGATTGTGCCGCTGCTGCTGCTTGAAGTTTCAGCACCACAGTGTAAGTTACTCGAATCAATAACTCTGATAAATACATTGTGGGCAAGAAACATATTGTTTTGAATAAAATCAATAATATACTGAATAAAAATATAAACGCAACATGTAAAGTGTTGGTCCCATGTTTCATGAGCTGAAATAAAAGATCCACAACATTTTCCATATGCACAAAAAGCTTATTTCTCTAAAATGTTGTGCACAAATGTGTTTACATCCCTGTTAATGAACATTTCTCCTTTGCCAAGATAATCCATCCACCTGACAGGTGTGACATATCAATACACTGATTAAACAGCATGATCATTCCCGGCACAAGGTGCACCTGTATACAATAAAAGGCCACTCTAAAATGTGCAGTTTTGTCACACAACACAATGCCACAGATGTCTGAAGTTTTTGAGGGAGTGTGCAATTGGCTTGCTGATTGCAGGAATGTCCACCAGAGCTGTTGCCAGAGAATTGAATGTTAATTTCTCTACCATAAGCCGCCTCCAACGTCGTTTTAGAGAATTTGGCAGTACGTCCAACTGGCCTCACAACCGCAGACCACGTGTAACCACGCCAGTCCAGGACCTCCACATTCAGCTTCTTCACCTGCGGGATCGTCTGAGACCAGCCACCCGGACAGCTGATGAAACTGAGAAGTATTACTGTCTGTTATAAAGCCCTTTTGTGTGGAAAAATTCATTCTGATTGGCTGGGCCTGGCTCCCCAGTGGGTGGGCATAAGCCCTCCCAGGCCCACCCATGGCTGCGCCCCTGCCCAGTCAAGTGAAATCCAAGGTTAGTCCTAATTTATTTATTTCAATTGACTGATTTCCTTATATGAACTGTAACCCAGTAAAATCGTTGAAATTGTATGTGGCGTTTATATATTTGTTCAGTATAGTAGTACCAAGCTATCAAAGTTGACCTCCGGTCCTCCTTCTCATCTTTGCGCTTTCCTTCTCAAACTGAACAGAACATAGGCTATGGATAGTCCGCACGCAAAAGTGACTTTTTTTGGACTAGGCTTAAAAAATATAAAAATATGGAAAGAA